GTAAGTCTGAAGTAAGTGTCATGTTTGTTTTGGTTCACTTGGGTATTTTTCCTTGGCTTCCACCCAACCATGTTTCCCCATGTGATGTAAGTTGACCATGAGCAGATTGGGGTTCAGCGAGTAAGGTTAAAGACATGAAGATGTGGTGCATAGTTTACTTCTTGCTTTCAACTAAATACCTGGCATAATTAATCAAGATCTGGTAGCAGCAGGAGGACACCATTGGATCTTTTATATATATATATATATATATATATATATATATATATATATATATATATATATATATATATATATATATATATATATATATATATATATATATATATATATATATATATATATATATATATATATATATATATATATATATATATATATATATATATATATATATATGTATATGTGTGTGTGTTTTTCAAGCCTGGCTACCAAATGTCAAGCAGTGATTCTTGAGAGTCAGGACAAATCACAGCTCCTCTCTAAAATACAAGCAATATGTAGAGAAATATTTTCATTATTCATTATAATGGACATACTTACAAAGTTAAATTTAAGGGAGATCTGTATCTTTATTTGGAAATATTGTTGACATTTTTGAAAAATTTTGACGCAAATGTAAATGAAAATTTTCTATGCATTGTTATATTTTGTGTCCGTTCAGAGAGTTCATCTGCTTAGAAAAACATTTTAAAACTACTAAACTTTCTATTTTAAATAAAATTGAATTTAATGAATTATAAGGCTTTCAAAATTTAAAAAGTGCCTACGGTAGAACTGTGAAAATATTTTTCTTCCGAATTCAGCTTGTTAAAGTAGTGTCCCAACTTTTTGTCAACTCCTGTTGAAAAAACTAATTAAATCAGGCAGTAATGTAATTATCTATCTCTGAGGATCTTGTTTGTTACCCTTACTCTACTAAACACAACACTGCCACACAGAGCCTGGTCGCTTTTACACTTTGTCACATTTAACACAGACAATAATGACATTTCTGCTGTCATAGTTGGAAAGTGTCAACTCCGTCAGTCCATTATGATCCATTTATTTAAACAGAACTGGAGTGAGTCTAAGCCTTGAGTGAGATAATAAAGGCAGCTAACACATTAAACAAAAAGAAACTAACTGCAGAGCACCCTACCTGTTTAATGTGGGAAAAACATGCACTTTTTTCAACTCCGTCAATTCTCTTGTCAATTCATGTCTGACAGAGTTGACAGGTCGCTGACACCTAAAAAAAGTTGACAAATCCACCTGTAGTCCCTGAATGTGCTAATTAAATATTATTTGTGAACTTAGAAATGGGTTAAAGTGCAATTTTATGTTTTACATTTCATATAATATATGATTATTTCAGACCTGGAATTGTCAATCTCTACTGAACCAAAGGTAAAACATAGCTGTTAAGTTGAAAACTAACATAACAAAGTGGAAGAGAGCATTTTGAGCCTTCCATCTTAATAATGCAGGATTACTCAAACATGTGTGAATGAAACAAAACATAACTCCAGGTAAATGTCTGATAAGGTAATAACATTATAACATTGCTTAAAACTCATTATTTCTTTATAATTTAGGACTTGTAAATGGGAATAATATCAGTCTAACTTAAGATACTTCCAAGTCCAAATGAATTCTGTTATCATTCACTTTAGTCTAATAGCATTTTGGTCATTTTATCCTGCTCCAGTGCTTTGTATAAAGTAATATTCTAATATAAAACTGCACAAAAATAGTTTCTAATAGAAGTTTGGTCACATGGGTACGTGCTTTTATTTTAGTCTTCTATAGTAATTTTTGGCAAAAAGTTATTAGGGCTTTCGAAATCCCTTACCCATTTTTATTATTGATATGCTTTATTTAGCCTATGTACACGTAAATCATTAGGGATATCAGTAATAGAAATGACAAGTGAAGAAAATAGTGCATTTACTTTTTTATTATTCACACAGTTTTAAGTAAGCAGCTGCTAATAAAATATGAGGTGATAAATTGATAAGCTAAGGCTGAAGTACAGGCTATCATTCACATTCAGAGCTGTAAGACATTTATTTCACCTATCTGAACCTAAATTTAAACTCCATGACCTGCTCCCATGCCATGGGTGCTTAATGTTTTTTGTCCACAAAAGGGAGGGAGTTCCTCATGAAATAAGCATACAATGCAGATTTAGACCCCATGATATGAGCACTACAGCACTCAGAGATCCTTGACTGTCATGACCAGGAGTGCCTTGAGTAGGCTACTCATAGAGAATGAGTCCTGAGTTACTGAGGCCAGACTAAAGGAAATCACACACAAGGAAAATGTGCCAACTAAAGCCACAGAGAAAAGCTGTACTTTATAACAGGCCTAATACTTAAGGTTATCCTAGGCTGTATGTGTCATAAAGTACTAAAGGTTATTTATTCAGGAAGAAATAACTGAAGAACGCATAGACAGTGTTGAGAAGGTTACTTTTAAAATGTATTCCCCTACAGATTACAGATTACATACCCAAAAATGTAGTTTGTAACGGAATCCATTAAATTACTTAAGGTGAGTAACGTAATCTGAATACTTTAGATTACTTGATTTGTTGTAGAGAAGCAAAGACTAGGATATCGTAACATGAGATGTTTTGTCTGCTAAAAGACAATAAAAAGCCCAGACTTTACTTAACCAGATTAAAAAGTATTACTGATTGAAGAGGAGGAGACACGGTCCGCACAGTATGGTTTAGTCCTGTTAAATCCTGTTTTAGTCCTGCTTTAGTTTTGGTTTAGTCCTGGCTTAGTCCTGGTTTAGAAAAAAGCGATATAGCCCAAAATGTGAAAACAGGAAAATACCGCCATGTAATCCATTTATTTCAACCAAGTAACTGTAATCCAATTACCTCTCACTGAAACAGTAACTGTAACTGAATACAGTTAATCATAATTTGTACTCTGATTACGTAACTCCAGTACATGTAATCCGTTACTCCCCAACACTGCGCATAGACAATATCCGAGCCTATAAACCATGTGTAAAACCTGCTTGTTTCTGTGGAGATGTTATTGCTTTGCCAGAGTGTTTCACAATAAACACACCACAGTGGTTTGATAGCACATGTTCTCGTACTAATACCCTGAGAAACACTTACTGTAAGCGGACTTGCCTCACCACAGCCTTTAGCCGTGTGGCTAAAGGCTACACTATATTGACATAGTCTATTGAAAGCCTGCTATTCCTAGGCATACCATTACTACTACTTCTACTACTTAAAATAATAATAACATCCAAATCGTATTAATCATCTTGGCTACATTTGGGTCCTATATTACACAAAATGAACTCTTGTTATAGTGTTATTCCCACCTCAAAAACATACCTGGAGTTTTGTTTCATTCACACATGTTTGAGTAGCCCTTTATTATTAGTCTGTCTACATCTCTACAATACTTTGTTCCACCTTTTACCTTTTGTTCCATAGAGGTGGGGGGTTTTATGGCTGAAATTATTCATATAATTCTAGTGAAGATGTATGGAGTTTAAATACATAGTGGAGATTTGCCACATGACATCACAAGGTGGAGAGGGTTGAGAAAAGAACACAATCTAAATATGCAGGGTTTATGTATTAAAAGTGTGAATGAAACAAAAAGTAAGTAAGTAAGTCAGTCAGTAAGTAAGTAAGTAAGTAAGTAAAGTTTATTTATATAGCACAGACATAGGTCACAAAGTGCTTCACATACAAAAAATAAAAACAGCATAAGATACAGTCATAATAAAATCAGTCATAGCAGCTCTAAACCTGAGGGGGTGGGAAGGCTTGCTCAAACATTTTTAGTTGCTTTTTAATAGCATCTACACTATCTAGAGAGTGTAGGTAAGGCGGCAGTTCATTCCAGAGTTTAGGGGAGAAGACTTGAAAGAATCTGTCGCCTTGTGTTTTAAAACTTGTTCGAGGAACCATTAGCAGGTTTTGGCTGGTAGACCTCAGGCTAGACAGAGGTGTATGGCTTTATCAGATCTGTAATGTAAGCAGGAGCTTGGCCATGTAGGGCCCTAAAGGTCAGCACTAAGATCTTAAAGTGGACACGAAAAAGAACAGGGAGCCAATGTAAGGATTTTAAGACCAGAGTGACATGCGCTCTCCTATTGGTGCAGGTCAGAAGCCTTGTGGCAGAGTTTTGGACCATCTGCAGCCAGGTAAGTTCCTTCTTGCTCAGACAGGTAAACAGGTTAGTCTCATTTTGGCCCAAAACTACCTTAAAATGACGACCAATGCTCTAATATGGATGTCTGGGGTGGTCTGAGGTTGTTTGGAGACATTTGAAGCATGTTTTAAGTATTCTCAAAATTTGGTCAAATTTTAGCCGAAATGACAGGGCCGGACCTGACGAAAATTTTTTATTTTTGGCCATGTCAAGTTTTGGCCCCAAACTACCTAGTGAAGGTGTGTGAAGTTTAAATACACAGCGGAGCATTACCACATGACACAAGGTGGAGAGGGGTTGAGAAAAGAACATAGCCTACATAGGTAGGGTTTATGTATTAAAAGTGTGAATGAAACAACTACTCTAGGTATGTTTGTGATAAAGAAACAACGAATAAGTGATAAAAAGCTGATTAAACACTAAGTAAGTAAGTAAGTAGGTAGGTAAGTAAGTAAGGTAAGGTAAGTAAGTAAAGTTTATTTATATAGCTCTTTTCACCGACATAGGTCACAAGGTGCTTCACATTGAAAAAATAAAAACTGCATAAGATACATTCATAATTAAAACAGTCACAGCCGCTCTAAACCTGAGGGGGCGTAATATAGTGTCTTGCTCAGACAGATAAACAGACTTTTACTCTAGTCTAGCCTCAATGACACAAATGCACGGATTACCATCTCTAACTCAGCTTTAGAAATCATCGTGCGAAGTTTAGATGTGTGTCGCAGTACACGCATGTCTGACACAAACTGGGCTGTGGAGCGTACCTTTGGCGGCCAATCAGCGTCAAGAACCACTATGACGTCACGTATTGACTAACTCCAGGAAGCTGCTGTAACTTCCAACTGTACATTACTCCGCCTTTTTGGGAACACTTTCGCATTAGTTTTAGTTCAAAGGGTGATTAGCGATTAAAAGTTTTAATGTTCACACTTTTCGTGGGTAGTAGTTAAAATCGTAAACAGAAACAAAATTTGCGATTAAAAATGACATCCCCTCCTGTTGCGTCCTGTCTCTTGGCTAACTATTCCATTGAAGCTCCACGATGTGCAAGTTCATAAAGTGAGTATCATTTACTGTGTTTTTGAAGTTATAACCTACATTAACGACTTTGAACTCTTAACACTTTTTAGTTTTAAACTTATCTAGCGTTATACAGGGCAAAGCGGACAACCTTCAGAGCTAGCATGGTGGTAATGTCACGTTTTTATACAAACATTAGTAACCCAAATAGACGGGATAGTTTCAAGCGAATGGAGCGATTCTTTTTAATGCGGATTTACTAAATACAGTGACACGGATTAAAACCACTGATCTGTTTGAGTCTATGCCAAAAGAGCTGTCATAACAATAGGCAGTCTACTCTCTCTATAAGAATATTAAATAGCCTAATGTCAGCTAATTAAACCATATTATTTGTTAGAGATCGGATCCACAAACTTCTACTATATTAAACTCATGGTTCAAGAGCCATTTCACTTGGAAAAGTCATCTTAGCTTGTTTCTGCTGACAGAGAAGACGCTGAGCTTTGGACCAGTTTTTGTTTCATGTGGATAGGTCCAGTAATAACAGAGTTATTAACCAGGATAAAACTTGCGCATTTGGTAGTTCTTTTGTGAAATTAATTTTGGTTAAATGTTCTACTTTATAGGATCAATGCAGTTTTGTTGGCATAATTAGATGATAATGTGCCTCTTCCCATCATTTACTGTGAGGGTTTAATTGAATACTTTGGGAGATGTTTCTAAATCGCTTGTTTGCTCTCCTAATTCCCTCACATACTCTTGTTAAGAATACACAATATTATATTATTGTGCAATTTCCCACTCAAGGCTTTAGTTTTAATTGATGTGGTCCACCTGAAGTGTACTTCACTGAGTCCTCTCATGGAGCAGATACAGTATGCATGTCTGCAAATCTGGTTTGGAGTTCATATATCCACAAACAAGAGTTCACTGTAATTGGATGTGTGAATACACCCTTAAACCTTAGTGTCTGTGGCAAAATGTGCTACTTGAGAAAGTCATGTGCTTTTTATTACTTGCTTTTTATTACTTTTTTATTCACTTGCCATTTTCTCTATGAAATAAAGCATGACAGGTTTCACTGACTTTTATTGTAAACTTTAATACATTTGAATAAGTAATGTGTTACTCTGATCAGATGACTATTTTAATAAGATATAATAAAAAAAATTGAATAATTAGATTATAGTTAGTAGTAATTATATTTAACTTATTCCAATTTTAATTTGCTCTGTAACAGGGAGAAAATAAACAAGTACCATATTAGTTGTGTGTCATATTTTTGCAGACTGTAGAACTGTGAGCCTCTGCTGCAGGACACGTGTTGTTTAATTATTTAACTACTTATAGCTTTACTTTTTTAGCATTGGTTCTTGAAAATGAATATAACATTGAACATACGTAGTAAAATACTGCGTTTATAACATGTTTATCTAGTTTGTTTTTTGAAAAAATAAGCTCCCACCCACCTTTCAATTTATGTCTTCACTTGCAACCCAACTGTCTGCTCCTTTTGTTGTGTGGTTCACATCTTTAGTAACTGTTTCTGTCATTGCACAGCTGGTAGGAGCTTATTTAAAACCAATCATTGAGTAAAGGCACTAAGAGGAAAGTGCCTTTGGACAGGCTGTATTCTCTTTCTGCGCCTCTCAAACCTGGAACACCATCTCAGTTTCTATACATGAGCTGCTACACTCAACTCCTTCTCTGCTCAACTTAAATCATGGCTATTGGACAATCAGATCTGTCCACACAACTGAACTTAAACAGCACCTTTTGCACATGAGCCAGGGACTGCAATCATATTTGTATATGGCTCTGTAACCAGATGTTATTGCTGCGCATGGGTAAGTAATGAGAATATGTACCAACCTGTACATTTTAATACTAATATTGTATGAGTGTAGCAGTTCATCTACATCGGAAATGTCATTAATTCACTACATTATAAGTTCATGTCTTTCACAAATACCTTTTTAATGTGAACACTTATGTTGAAAAGAATCTTGCACTGTAGTCTTCAACACTGATTTAATTCAACCTGGAGAGACTCACACATACACAAAGAAAAAGTATTGACAAACTTTATTGAATGAATTATCGTTGGCGGTCAGACCCTGGCCGAGGACATTGCGATGAAGGGTGTGGGCGATTAAATGATGTTTAGAAAATATCTTCCCCCTGGGGCCTGAGCACTGGAGGTGGTAGAGGTGAGACCGAGGAGAGTGAAGGGGACGTATAATCTGCAGGGGTAATGTGGCAGCATACTATATGAAAACAATTATTTTCATAACAAACCATACCTGGCGCAACGGAGCTAGAGCTGCTCAATTATGGCAAAAATAATTTGACCCATAATTGAAATCACAATTGTTACTTTACACTGCCAACACAACCTGTGGAGGATGTATTGAGCTATTTTAATTTATTAGTAGTGATGTTTTGTGTTTTGTCACTTTATTATAGGGAAATATGTATTCTTTATACAACAGCAAATAGAAATTTATACTCTTGCATTTAAGGAGTGTCAAGCTGTCTCTGCCTAGTTGCAAACATCTAAAAAATATCCTCACATCATCACGGGACCTGTGGAAATGATCTTACCACCACTGTGAGGGTCCCACCCCATGTTGAGAAACACTGCACTAGACAATTTATGCAGCATACAAATTACGTTTACCTGCTATCATTGAGTATGCACTCAAATGGCTGTATGAGCACTGCAGTAACCAGGTCAAATTATTATTGCTCATACATTGAACACTCATTTACATATTAAAATTGCACTACAAATAAGTTTTGAATAGTATATCATGTGCAACATGCCCACAAATTGCACATTGCACATTTTTCAGTTTGCAAACTTTTGATGGTGCACTCTGAATACATTGTAGTGGATATGTTTTTGCTATTTCAGGTGGATGAGTACCTGCAAGACCTCCAGCTTTCCGATGAGACGCTAATGGATTTGTCGATGCGTTTTCGTCGAGAGATGGACAAAGGCCTGTGTCGAGATACCAACCCCACAGCGGCTGTCAAGATGCTGCCCACGTTCGTTTGCTCCACACCCGATGGAACAGGTAATTAACCTTTCATGCTGAAAAATACTGCCTGCAAATTATAGTGAAACTGAATTAGTCAGCTCCTTTTTCCCCACATGGCCAGTGCTTGTAGACAGTCAGAGCAATAGAGACTCATGCAGGCCATTTGAACATATTTTCTAAGCGTGTTTAGTTTAGTGTTTAGTAGGGATGGGCATGATTAGTCGATTAATCGATAATTGATCATTAAGAATTTCATCGATTACGTTCATTTTCATCGACAAACCTAATGCAGGTTGCTATGCGTAGCGTGACCAAACGGGGTTCCGTACATGTAGCTCTCTGCACTCAGAAGGAGCGAGCAAACACAAACAGTCTGCAACGTGCCGAAGCACAAATGCGTATTTAACGACGACTTGTACAAAAAATTCCACGCTTTCCGTTCCGGTCGGGACAAGTGTGAGGCCGTGTGCACAGTGTACAAAGCAGGCAGATATGTTTCGGTGTCCAGTGGAAAAAAGCTCACCAGGACACCGAAAACATGAAAAAGCTTTGCCAGGTGAGAGTAGCACAATGTCGATGACGAGGCCCCACCTCCCACCCCCCGTATGGTGTCCCGGTTTTGACAAACGCAAATATGGTCACACTAACCTGTATTCCACTGAGTCGTGTCCTTCAATCCGACAGAAGTTGACCGCATCAGTGCACAAGAGCTGCTTTTTTTCCTTCGCTTAGTTTATGCAAATTAGCCATGCAGTTTAAGTTTCGTTTCTGTGAGAGTTGCGCAAAGCTTATAATCTCGAATGGGCTGATGTGGCTCTAGAGTGGTTACGGTTTATATGTCGTAAAGTTGAATTTATTTATGCAGATTAGTAGTGCAGATATAATAATGATGTTAAATTTTGATATAAAAAAAACGTTAATGATTAATCGATAATCGATTGTTAATTCTCCCGACAATCGATTAAGAAAATTTAATCGAATGTCCATCCCTAGTGTTTAGTATTGCAGAACGTGCAGATGAGCTGTCACCTTACAAGTTTGAATTTGTATGTATTTTTAGGATTTACATATTCATAATCAGTTTTAAAAACAATCAAATTTGTTTTTAAAACTGAACTGTTGCATAAAAGGTGGAGCTTCTCTTTATGCTCTCTAACAAAAGGCAGCTGGGGAGAGGAGGAGTGTAAACATGGTAAATTGAACTGACAGTGACACGCTGGATTCCAACCTTCTGAACATTAATAGACTAATCAGGCAACACATTCATAGATAGGATTACTATTTGCAAAAAAATCTAAAATGAGATAGAAAATGGAAATTAAACTAACACCACATATCTTTTTGGTGGCGGCATGTACATTACATTGAAGCAGAAAATTCAATTGATACAATTAATATGACTGAATTATTGGTCCACCATTACACTCCTCAATTTATATAATCCATCCATCCATTTTCTTGAGTTTATCCAGGGCCGGGTCACGGGGGCAGCAGTCTGAGCAGGGACTTAGACTTCCTTCACCCCGGACACTTCCTCCAGGGGGGCCCCAAAGCTTAAGGCCAGCCGAGAGACATAGTCCCTCGAGCGTGCCTTGGGTCTTCCCCGGGGCCTCCTTCCGGTAGGACATGCCCAGAACACCTATTGCCCAGGGAGGTGCCCAGGAGCCATCCAGAACAGATGCCTGAGCCATCTCATCTGGCTCCTCTTGACATGGAGGAGCAGTGGCTCTACTCCAAGCTCTTCCCGTGTGACTGAGCTCCTCACGCTATCTTTAAGGGAGCGCCCAGCCACTCTGCGGAGGAAACTCATTTCGGATGATGGCACAGATTGGCAGCCTCGCTTCCGTCAGTCTGGCCCAGAACAACTGTGGCTACAGTAGTAGTTTACTAGCACTGGTTATGGAGTGAATGAATATTGCTCTGTAAAGTGTCTTTGAGTGTCCAAAGCACTGGTTCGCCTGTCAGTCTCACGCTCCATCCTCCCCTCACTCATGAACAAGACCTCGAGATACCTGAATTCCTCCACTTGAGGCAGGGACTCCCCACCCACCCGGAGAGGGCAAGCCACCTTTTTCAGAGGGAACCATGGCCTCGGATTTGGAGGAGCTAATCTTCATCCCAGCAGGCACTTCCCCAGTGCTTGCTGCAGGTCCTGGCTTGTGAAGCCAACAGAACAACATCATCTGCAAACAGATGATGTTGTGGTCTCCAACCTGACCCCCTCTGGCCCCTGACTGCACCTAGAAATTCTGTCCATAAATACAATGAACAGAACTGATGACTGATGGCAAACTCCCATGAACCCTCGAGCACCTGATGGAGAGTATAGAGCTGGTCCAGTCTTCTGTGGCCAGGACGAAAACCACACTGCTCCTCCTGGAGTTGAGGTTCGACTATCGGCCCGATTCTCCTCTCTGGTACCCTGTAATAGACCTTATTGGGGAGGCTGAGGAGTGTGATTCCCCTGTAAGTGGAACAAACCCTCCGGTCCCCCTTCTTAAACAGAGATTAAGATACTCAGGATGGATCTCGTCCACCCCCGGAGCTTTGCCACCAAGGAACTTGTGATTTCAGCCAGATTGATGGACAAGTTCGCCTCTGAGTCCCCAGCCTCACCTTCCTCCTCGGAAGACGCGATGGTGGGATTGAAGAGATCCTTAAAGTATTCCTTTCACCGTCCAACAACATCCTCAGTCAAGGTCAACACCTCTACCCCGCACTGTAAACAGTGTTGGTGAAGCACTGCTTCACCCTCCTGAGGTGCCACACGGTTTGCCAGAATTTCTTTAGCCTCTCTGTACTCCTCCCAGCCCCGAGTTTTTGCCTCTGCACCTGCACAGGCTGCAGCACACTTGGCCTGCTGGTACCCGTCAGCTGCCTCAGGAGTCCTATGAGCCAACGAGGCTTGATAGGACTCCTTCTTCGGCCTGATGGCATCCCTTACTTCCAGTGTCCACCACTGGGTTCGGGGATTGCCACCGCAACAGGCACCACAGACCTTACGACCACAGCTGCGAGCGACCGCAGCGACAATACAGCCTGAGAACAAAGCCCACTTGGACTCCATGTCCCCAGCCTCCCCCTGAATCTGGGAGAAGCTCTCCTGGAGGCACGAGTTGAAAGTCCCCCTACGTTCCCAACAGGCCCTCACTATATGCTTGGGCCTGCCAGATCTTTCCAACTTCCTTCTCCGGATCCAGCTCACAACCAGGTGGTGATCAGTTGACAGCTCTGCCCCTCTCTTCACCAGAGTGCCCAAGACATGCGGCCGGAGGTCAGATGACACGATAAAGTCGATCATCGACCTCAGGCCTAGAGTGTCCTGGTGCCACATGCACTGATGGACACCCTTGTGCTCTTATCAACAAACTGTGACTAGCACAGAAGTTCAATAATAAAACACAGCTCGGGTTTACATCAGAGGCCGTTCCTCCCTATCACCCCTCTCCAGGTGTCACTCTCATTGCTCATGTGGGGGTTGAAGTCCCCCAGTAGAACAACGGAGTCCTTGGTCGGTGCACTGTCTAGAACCCCTCCCAGGGACTCCAAGAAGGCTGAGTGCTCTGCACTGCTGTTCAGCCCGTAGACCGACACAACAATGAGAGACCTGTCCCCAACCCAAAGGCGTAGGGATGCGACCCTCTCGTTCACCGGGTTGAACTCCAACACACGGCAGCTGAGTTGTGGGGCAATGACCAGGCCCACACCAGCTCGCTGCTGCTCCCTGCGTGCAACGCCAGAGAAATGGAGAGTCCAGCCCCTCTCAAGGAGTTGGGTTCCAGAGCCGACTATATCTAGTTGATAACCCTCAATCTCCAGCACAAGATCGGGCTCCTTCCCCTGCAGCGAGGTGACAGTCCATATCCCCAGAGCCAGTCTCCATGTCCCGCGGGTGATGGTCCACTGGAGGACGGTCCCACGTCGCTCCTTCAGGCTGTGCCTGGCTGGGCCCTGTAGGGAAAGGCCCGAAAACCAGATGCTCACCGTTGAGCACCCACCCCCAGGCCTGGCTCCAGGGTGGGGCCCTGTAACCCCAATCCAGGCGACGTAACTGGCCTTGTCATTGTGCTCAATTTATATAACATGAAATCATTCATATGAAAATTAATAGGGGTGGGATGAGACAGAATTTTTATGAGACAAGACGAGAAACAAGATCAGGTCCATGAGAACGAGATGAGCTTTTGAAATAATTTACAATAATCTGATCTAGTTATAAAAATAATCAGATTAAGTAATTTTCATCATCTGCTTTTAATAATTTAAATGCATTGTATGGTGTAAACATAAGGCCTAATTAAACACCAGAGTAAACCCCTACATGCATCACTACTGATTATTACAATGTACTCAATATATAATATGTCTATTACACAAAAATTGACCAAAACTGAACCTACTCCTCTCTTCACACTGTCGTTCTAGGTCCTCCCCCTGTTCCCCCTCTTTCCTTGCTGCTGCTCTACAGATGCACTGTGCAGAAGGGCACAGACAGAGGAGGAGTACTTCTCTCTCTTCTTTTTCACTGTAAACTAAGTTATTATGGATGAAGAAGGCCTAAATATCTCTGAATCTTTTCGAAACAGTGTTTTAGAGTGATCGTGGCAGGAGGTCTTGTTTCATTCCCTAAAAATTAATGATAAGTCTCCCTGGAATGAAGCCCACAAGACAACAGTACAGTGCTGTTGTTTACAAACATTGCTAAGGGGTGCTGATGATTCTTTGCTTTTGCATGAATGGTGACTTATTGTGATTGAAAAACAAATCTAGCAAAGAATGGTTTCCAATAAAGGTTGTAGACAATATGAACAAAACAAGTTCATGTTGCCAAAGTGTTACTGTGCTAAAATAAGCAACGTCAAATGTAGCTCCTCTTGTTTTTATGGACACTGAATGTGAAATGTGACTAGAACATTTTAATTCATGTTTCTAGAGCTGCTTATATTTTAGATTTTATTTTTAGCATTATGTACCCCAACTGTACCATCAAACATTATTCCTTACTATGTTATTACGAACAGCAATCATCTTGTTGAACTTCGTGTTGTCCTATCCCTACTGCTTGGTCAGCCATTGCCACGACAACAGGGCTGTACTTCTGTGTCACGTCTTTACCATAGTTTGTTGCGTGTTGTGTTCTTAACATTTAATTTTTTTTTTATTTTTGTAATTCTGCAAGCATAACAACAATCAAGATAAATGGTCAAGTCTGGTTTTGATAAATTCAGTCCATCGTTTGTATTTGTTCAGAAATTTGTTTTGTTGCAATCTGATACTAAAAGTAGATCTCTCCATCTATATCAATATCATGGACAATATCAAATCCAATGTTGGTGTTTGTGGATTAAGCCATTTTCTATTTATAACTTTCCCTGTAACTGCACTCAAAAACTGGAATAGGTATTTAACCTTGTATGTCACATTTTCACTCATCAGGAAACCCAAATATATTGTTTCAAATCGAAATGGGTCGACTGGGTCTGTGATATTTGCACAGGACTAAATTTATACAAGGACCTCTGTGTTTGCTAATTCCAAACTTGGAGTTATGCTGTCATGACTATGAACGATTCTTTTCTCGTTTTTCCAGAACAAGGCGAGTTTCTGTCACTGGATCTTGGAGGAGCAAACTTCAGAGTGTTGTTGGTCAAAGTGGTGTCGGGTGAGAATCGCAGAGTGGAGATGAAAAATGAAATTTACGTCATTCCTGAAGATGTCATGAGAGGCACTGGCTCTGAGGTAACTCCAATATCAGTACTTCTGTTGAAAGTGAAGAGTTAATTGTGTGTTGTAATGGGATCAGTATTCCATTAACATGATGGGCTTTCACTTGATGAAGGCATGGTGGTAGTGCAATTCACAAAAACAAGCAAATACATGGGGTAAAATAGATGGCTACTGATGGTGGACTCAAGTGAACATCATGAAACATGAACTGCTCATCATTGATCTCATGCTCATCATGCTGTTAAAGCTTTCTACAGCCCTGCTTCGAGGGGTTGGCGCACGGGTTGACTGTGCTTAAGGTGAATGAGGGGCTTTATGTGGTTAGATCCCAAGTTTTGTGTCAGAGGTCCAGATGTGGACTGGAGTGTACTTGGGTCTGGATCCAGACCAGAGATTGCCTTTTTCGTGACCCAGGCTTATAACAAGTTTCTGACCTTTACTATAACCCTAACTGCAGCAAGTCTGTAATGTGGAAACAAAGGCATGATGGAACATAACACCCTTTTTTAAAATGTATTAACACTTTATTAACTTGTGAACATATAGCTACAGCAGAAGCAGCATTGTTTAGTAAAAGTTCAGGGATTCCAGATGCACATCAGTAGAACTGAACTCGAGGACATCATAAATTCTTTTTGTTGAGTGTTTACATGTTAATATGCATTTGTAATTTGGAGGTCAACTTTTTCTGACCCCAAAAATTTGCTTACATTTTGTGACCCAACCCAACCTTAACCCACTCAGTATTGACATGTTTATTTAGTACCTTTAATGTAGTTTATTATACTAAATAATGCAGTTGGAAAATAAACATTATCAGATTAATTGTAATTGACACTTCTGAGTCCCTTAACACTGCCATCTGTTCCAAAAAAAGTAAATTATTTGAGCCCTAGCCAGTATACAAATGTTTAGTCATCTGGCAGGAGAAAAACAAATTCCTAACCTTTTAGTGAATGCCATTACTATTTTCTGTTTTTTTTTATTTATAATTTTTATATAATTTTATAATTATAATTTTATATTTATAATTTTTTTTGCAGTTTTTTGACCACATTGCTGCCTGCTTGGCTCAGTTTCTGGAGAAAATGGGCATCAAAGAAAAAAAACTTCCTCTTGGCTTCACCTTTTCGTTTCCTTGTCAGCAAACTAAAATGGATGAGGTGAGTCAAAGTTAAATTGACTCTTTGAAGTACATGCTTCTAACTTTAGTAATATGTATAGTTTCTGTATGTTTGTCAGCTAACACTAGAGGGCTATGGACTAAGAATCATTTTAGGCCATAACCCTAATGATGCCCAACGAACATTAAAGTGCGACAGACTTTGATGATTCTCTAATTTTGACTTAATTTGGAGGGATTATAATTATTGTAAATATAAATTATAGTTTTACACCAATTAAGAAGTAATTTGCGAAGAAATTTTGAAAAATATGTTGACACCACACTGGGAGAATTCTATCCAAAAGTTTATCACAATTTACATTTAAGAAACACATTTTTGTCTGATACTTTCAACATTTATCCAATAAAATAAAGGTGGTTTCTTATATTTGTATTTGTTAGATCATAATTTCAGTGAACATTAGAGGAGTTTTGCTTCATAACAGTTATGAAATTCTCTACGCTTTTAAAACCAATGAAATAGCCAAATTGGGAGAACAAGTGTGATTGTTTTGACAAAAATCTTAAATATAATCATCTTAGCTGTATTTAAGTAAAATGAATAGTCTAACCTTTCATAGGCACCTAATAATTTCATGAGAGGGGAAGTCAAAAATAATGTGTGTAATGAGTTTACAAACTCAATCTCTGTAAACATTTGTTGTGTTATGTTTCAGAAAAGAAAACCTGGCAATGTGTTGTTTTTGCAGGCTGTCCTAATGTCTTGGACAAAAGGCTTCAAACCGACTGGAGTCGAAGGGAAGGAAGTGGTCAGTCTCTTGAGAAAGGCCATCAAAAAAAGAGGAGTAAGTTCTGTTTCAGATACGTTGTTGTTGTTGTTGTCATTATTATTATTAATGTATTTATTTATTGACATTATAGGATGTTTGTATGGCAAAATGTAAAAAAAAAAAAAAATCACAAATCACAATTTCACTTTTGAGTAAATAAAAAGCAAATATCAGAAAGTCCAGGTGTTAACTTCCTGCCCTTGACAGTGGCTCTCAGCACTATCCTGGTGCACTGCGCGAGCTCCGGGAAGTGCTAAAATATAGCTATTCCCCACAACACTCGGCTTATGTCATACTAAGCACAGAACCAACCTCTAGGTCATGTGAAACAAAGAATGGAAAATGAAACAATAAACTCTTGCTGTTGTTTTTTATGAAGTGGGGATCAAATTAAATAGTGAAATATGTAATTATTTAATGTAGATTTATAGTAACAAAAAACAAATAAACTAATTAAAATGTCCTTTCTTAGTTTTTGTTTTTAAATAAAAAAAAAAAAATCAATTGAACGAATGACACATGGATTATGTGCCACCAGTATTTTTAAATTGCGTTTAAGGTGTCTGCGTCAGTGTTGGAGGACAACAGATGTTGAAAATAGTGAATCAGAATGAGACTGGCCACACTACATGTGTATTTCACCCCACATGAGTGTAAGAACAGCAACTTTTGTACGCATATAATCATGGTAAATGGTCACATTTTTCTATACTTATACTTATACGCTTTACAACAAGGAACCACTCACCCATTTACACACATTCACACACCAGTGTACGCAGACACTGTGGGCAAGGTGGGTTAAGTGTCTTGCAACAGCAGCATTCATCTGTGGGAGCTGGAATCACACCAGCCAACCTGTGGGTCAGTGGATCTGACCACTCAACCTGTGATGCTTATGTCAAGAGCTGGATTCGAACCGCCAACCTTCAGATCAGTGGGCGAATGCTCTACCAACTGAGCTACTGCCGCCCATATATCATATTATCATGTCAAGTACAAACACAATAGCTTGAATCCTGACAAAGCTGCAGTGCTGCGTTGCCTTCCACTGTTCCTGATCGGTAGCATGCACTTGCCATCATTCAAACTGAAGTTGCCATGCTTTTTTGATCCTATTACAATGCTATGAAGTGTGAAAAATATTGAACACAATTTTCATTTGGTCTCTGTTGGTGCAGGATTTTGACATTGACATTGTAGCAGTAATCAACGACACGGTGGGAGCCATGATGACCTGTGGCTATGATGACCAGAACTGTGAGATTGGGCTCATTGTAGGTAAGTAGATACTGCAGTCACCATTCCCATAATTTTACATTATTTAGTGTAATTTGTGAGAAAAAAATTTAATTAATCCAATTTGGCCCTCAAGCATTCAGACATTCAATAAGTGATGTAAATTAATACTAAACTATTATTCAGCAGCTACAAACCTCCTCCTTTGCCACAAAGCTCACCATCCCCCACTCAAGGTTGCGGCCAAGCCCTTTCGCACACTCCCTCCACACATACAAACTGCTGAAACAATTCAAACCTCTTCAAATCAATCAAAACAATTCACTTTAAACTAGGGCTGTTGCGGTAACCGCAATATTGCAATACGTATAATCAATCACACCACCGGAGGGTTCAGATGACCACGGTAACTGCACTTTGCATTTTAATAAGGCTCCATGCACACACCCCGCAGAAGTTTACTATTCTACGGCATCTCTTGTCTTTTGCTGTTTTCATTTGGTGATAATTGCATGAAGATTAATGTTGTCCTCTTGGTGCAGGTAACACATGCACATACAAAAGTTAACGGTTAACCCGCGGTTAACCTGCGGATAACCCATTTAACCATGGGTTAAGTGAACAGTTTAGTCAGTAATCACTGTGGCGCTTCTCCATACCTAACTTGCAACATCCATTTAGATTCAGTGGGGATATTCAAGGTCGCACAGTGCATACAGACTGAAGTTTGAGCCATTTTTCATGTCATTTATGCACTCACCTGCATTTAACGCATATGGGTCATTAAGATGTATCCCACTCACTAATGCTAGTTTAGCATCATAACTTATTTTATCACATGGTTATAAACTAATGATAAAGTGAAGTGATAAAGTTTTAGTGCTGACAACATCACTAGCTTGTGCTCTAACTTCATGTGTATCCACACAGACGGGGGCTCTTTCTGCACTCAGGTTGCGCGCACATCCTCTGTGTTGATAAACTGATATTAATCAGTCTATACCGCACACACCGCACAAACCTGTGCAGAGGCACATAAAGTTACCACATGGGAAATTCTTGAACAATCCTAGATTTAACTTTCTGTTTAATTCCAGCTGACCACTACCATGTATGTATGATTATGTGTGTGTGTGTGTTTGCCTGACTGTTCTGTGTCATTGTAGGGGTGAGATTAAATACATTTTCTTCTTCCAGCCCCTTTTTGGGCAAAAAAAGAAAAAATTTTTGTTGTTATTTTCATTTCTATTATGATTTCACATGTTATATATTCCATTGTATATGAATGTAAATCCTTACTTGCCCAAAATAAATGCATTAAAAAAATAAATAAATTGTGAAGCATTTTAGGCCTCTTGAAAAACGCTATATTAATGGAAAGTATTATTATTATTATTATTATTGCTACTATTATTGTTTAGAGGCAGACATTTAAACCAGCTGTCCCTTTTTCACTTTCTTCCACTCCTCTTCCCTTTTACTGTGACTGAACTGCTAACCCTACCCCCATGTATGGAGGAAAGTTATTTTGATAAGATTGTGGACAGAGTACAGGAGTTTACCTTGACATGTTTCGGCTACACTCTTCTTCAGAAGTGTCATGTGATGTTGCTATGATGTGTCTGGTTAGTTGATTTAAATAGTTTATGGCTTCTGAATAAGGCAACCATGTGCACTGTAGCTTGTTCTTTACAATCAATATACAATTTGACCTATATTTGTACATCTAATCCATACTGTCTGATGTAAATTAAATGTGTTTAAATGTAAAAGGTTGTAAGGGCTCAAATTATTAAATATTGCCTGATCAGAAAAATAAACCGGTATTTGCCAATTACAAGTATGTGAGTTTGTGGAGTATAAACTACAATTAATAAGTAATTGGCATTTAGTAAACCATTTATAATAGCTGTCTTTTAACATTAATCAAATTTGTTGGTGTGCATGCAGTGGAGAACAGTTAAAAAATACAGATACAATCATACGGTTTATAGTTTATTATAATATATTACATACCATTATATTAATAGGTTTATAAAATATTTACAAATTACATTATTTCAATCAATAAGACTTGCATTTTGCATTTTTTTCAAAATTTTGAAAAAAAATGTTATGTTCATTCAGTTGCCAATACATTAATCTAGTGGACCTCTGACAATAATGTGATGGAATTATATGTTATATAATAATAATATATTATATTTATGAGTCTATGTGAATGATTGTAATTTCTTTGAAGGCACAGGGACCAACGCCTGTTATATGGAGCAGATGCGTCACCTGGAGGTTCTGGAGGGAGATGAGGGCCGGATGTGTGTGAACACTGAGTGGGGCGCGTTTGGAGACGATGGGGGGCTGGATGACCTGAGGACAGACATTGACAGAGAGATTGATGCTGGGTCCCTCAATCCAGGACAGCAGCTGTGAGTGCAGACAAAGCAAGGGTGTATTCAGATTATGCTTTAGCATGGGATGAATCTTTTGTGAATAGAAGAATTTCATTGAAAACCACAACATAGTTTTTAAACATCTAATTAAAAGTAGGGTCAGGCACTGTAACGCGTTAATTTTGCGTTAACTAATTAATTCAATATCGCGAACAATTATTTCAACGCCGTTAATGTAGTTTTTATTTATTTTTATTTTTTTTATTGTAAATGTCTGTTGCTCACTGGCTTTTATTTTGAAAAATATAGCTGTCAGTCTTGTCCTGTGCAGTTTGGGAGAAGGAGCTGAGTCATGAACAAAAACTCTCAAATTACTGTTGATAACGCCACCTCCACCCCAACACGCTGCCATGATTAATGATTGAGACCACAAGGTACAAGTGGTCTTTGTGCTGGTGAGGTCAGCCTGTCTTGTAAGTCCCCTATGCTTTCTTTAAATAAAAATCTCAAGAAATAAAAACACAATAAAATAGTTTTGGCCACATAAAGTAGAATATATATAATCTAATATGGTAAAAGTGGAAACACTGTTTACATTGAATATCATTAGGTTTACTATAAAACCAATTAACCAAAGTCACTTTGGTCACTATTTCTACAATGATTTATTAGGAAAATTCACCAATTACATTTGAATCAAAAGCACAAAGACTTGACAGGCTGAAAAGCCCATTTCTATAGCCTTTCTTAGATTATTTTTAAAGAAACTGTTGATGCATCTGAAAACTACAGTAGTGAAAACACTTGGTGCCCACTAGGGCAGTTTGACTCCTGTTCTCTTAAGTTGTGTTGTACAAAATAATGACCAATTTATCTTATTTTTTCAGGTTTGAGAAAATGATCAGTGGTATGTACATGGGGGAGCTGGTGCGTCTCATCCTGGTGAAAATGACCAAACAGGGGCTCCTATTTCATGGGAGAGCCACTCCAGAGCTCCTCACCACAGGACACTTCAAAACCAGCTATGTCTACGCCATTGAGAATGAGAGGTCAGTGTGGTGCAACGTTTTGCACAGTCCATGTGGTGGAATGATGTTATTGATTGGATTGGTTCAGAGCACTTACATCATGGAATGTGTTCATTACCATCATAGTTTTTATACAAATACAATAACATTTGTCTTTTAAACAATTTATTAATTTTTCTTTTTTCATAAAACATGCATATGAGTCTTTGTAACAACTATCTGATCATTGTTTTATTTTTATGTTTTATGTGTTTTTCTTCACTTCTATATGGGCCGTGTCCACCTTTTGTCAGATTTTACATAGTGAATGTTTCTTTGTGAAAGAAAATCTGTTACAACAAATCAGATCATTGGGATCTGACTCCAATGCAAAGTAGAAAGTAGAAGTTCAAAAACTTTTCTTTTTAATATACGTCTTAATTTAACTGACTGACTAATTTAACTGAACTAATAACAAGAAAATTTTTAACAGCTCTTCTTGCGGTCATACCCATAGTCTGTTTTTATGGTCTGTTCCCTTGTCATTTGCAGTGAGGAAATAGGTCTGGCAGAGGCGGAGAGGGTCCTGCAGGGTTTTGGTTTGAATCCCACTGTTGAAGACTGCATTGGGACCCAGCGCGTCTGTGAGATTGTCTCCACACGAGCGGCACATTTGGTCGCTGCCACACTCGCCTCCATCCTACGGCAAATACGGGACAACAAGGCCGCAGAGAAACTGAGAACCACCGTTGGAGTGGACGGATCTGTGTACAAGAATCATCCACAGTAAGAGACACAGATTAAACCCTTGGAGACATAAACGGTTAAGATGAATAGAGGCTGAGTGGCTGAGCAGACTTATGGGTCTGCTGCTGTGGGGAACACACAGCAAAGAAGAGAGGTCATGTCTAACAGCAGCCAACTAAATGCATTAGCTCCTTTTTAATCAGCTATTAATCAGTTGTGGTAAGCACCAATCCCTCTTTCATGTGTCTTTGAATCTGGGTTTGAGCTGCAAATGATTGACTTTTGGGGCATTATGTAATTTACATAATATGACAGATAATCCAACCAGGTCTGACTCAGGTCTAAACACTGTCCAAACTAACTTTCCAAAAAAATCCAGTGAATTGTGTTTTTTGAAAGAAGTAAATAAAGACTAAAAGACTGAATTTACAACTGTTACTACAGGAAAAAAAACTGCAGAAGTCAAATATTGGTAGTGTCACTGTAGTGAAGGACCGAATTAAAATAGTAACGAGAGAAAAACATGCTGATTACAAAGGTTTTCACACTGAATATTTATCATGCAAACACACCTAAACATAATTTATGTTTGGCTGCAGAAAGCTGCTTTTGCCTTGGCTCAGAAACACTCTTTTTTGTCTGTCTGAGGCAGGAGAAGTTTATTTACCATCAGTCTGGGACCCAGTGAACTTGAATACTCAACACTGCATGTTAGTACTGGCTATTTTAGTATTAGTATTAGCCTGAATATACTTTCACACAAGGAGGTTTAAATAGAAGCTAAGAAGGACAGCATGGAGACATGGCTGAGATAAAATGAGAAGAGCATAGTGCACTGCTTCTCTGAGATGAGTTAATGAAGGAAACTGATAATGTTGAAGAAGGACAAATTCTGTAATAGTTGGATGATGCCAGAGATAACCACAGAGAAATGTCAACAATGAACTGGAGGTGTCCTTGCTAAGCCTATGCAGAGGATTCAAAATTCCACAACAATAATGGTTACAATTGTTTTTTTTTTGTTTTTTGTTTTTTGTTTTTTGTGATTTCGGCTAGTCCTTGATGTAAAGACCTGGTAAAACTTAATAAGACTTAAAAGTATTATGCACTGTGAGTGAGTTAGGTGTTACCAATCTGGGGATCACCCATAGATTTTAATCAAATGTTTAATTATTTTCAACTGTAATAGTATGTGATCTTGGTATTGGTATATTTAACTCTTTCAAAAAGTACAGTCTGGCAGGTGCTGGCAGTGCCTTTGTTATCTGACCCAGTTGGATCTCGTGGTGATTCAATAATGTGGATTAGTTTCAGCTTGTCTTTTTAGATTTATTGCATTTTAAAGAAGCCATATGGTGATTGTGTTTGCTATATGGTTATAAGTTATGGCACCCGTAGATCATTATGTTTTAACGATTTAATTAAATTAAATAATAAAAAAAAAAAATTGCAATAAAACAACGTAATAAAAGAAACAAGTCCACTGACTTCTAGGTTGAAAGCTGTGGGGCTGTCACCGTGAACATCATCACAACAAAGTGCTGCAGGCTGTCAACCCTGATAGTTGTTGCTTGCCAGTGTGAACTATGCTAGCAGATTTTTTACATTTGTGCCAAATACTACTTCAATTGGGTCAGTGACAAGGAAAAAAAAAAAAAAAATGGTTAATAGCTCATAAAAGTAAATTTTGCATAATCTTTTAACGTGCAAAAAATGCAGCCCTTAACTTTTCTGGGTAGGAGGGGTCCATCAGATATTTTTCTTTGTGGAGATGTTATCACTCTGCCTGAAATGTTTCACAGTATGGTATTAAACCTTTCTATCTTCATGGAGACCAATCCAGACCAAGTTACAGGTCAGATCTGTGGAGAGGCGACCCTCTCTCGCAGTCAGAATGCCTGTTTTTCTAGGGATTTCTGAGCAATAAAACCATCAGTAATTTAATAAATGTAAGGTCAAAAGGATACTTTACAATTTTGTGGGTAGCCTTTGGGGCTGTGTAGGCCAGCAGTTGTTGCTATGTGGGTCATGCCAGGAAAACGGTTGAGAACCCCTGTTGTTGAACATACAAGTGTCTATGTCCTCTCTCTTCTTTACTACATGTAATAGCTACATATTTATCATGTATTTTTTCCTTTAGGTTTGCTAGACGACTCCACAAAATGGTCCGCCGTCTTGTGCCTGACGTGGAAACGCGCTTCCTCCAGTCCCAGGATGGCAGTGGTAAAGGTGCGGCCATGGTGACTGCTGTGGCGTATCGTTTGGCAGTTCAGCAAGCCCAGCGAAAACTCATCTTGGACACTCTGCGTTTGAGCCGCGAGCAGCTTCTGGAGGTGAAAGAGAGAATGAGTGACGCCATGTTAAAAGGGCTATCCAAACAAACACACCAACAAGCCAGTGTCAAGATGCTGCCCTCGTTTGTCCGCTCCACACCGAATGGGACAGGTACAGACACGTTTTAGGCCGTTTCTGTGATCCTTTATGTAATATGGAGTGCAAGAATATATGCGAGTAATGTAGGGAGCAAAGCTTAAAGGTGCACTATGTAACTTTTTGGTTGGGGGTCTGTGGTGTTATTGTTTAAAAAAAGAAAAACAGGCATTCTGACAATGAGCTAGGTCACCTCACCACATATCTGACCTGTAACTTGAAACTCTGGTTTGGTCTCCATGAAGACAGGAAAGTTAATTGCCATACTGTGAAACATTCCAGACAAAGCAACATCTCCATAGAAAAAAAAAATCTTTTTTTGCTTTCTATCATTGTTTCTACCATTAACATTTCCTCATCAAAAACATGACAGAAGAGGTTTTAGATGTCATGCTTCATGCATGCTTAAGTAATTTAGCGATCTCTCTCGGGCCCTAATAGAACCCTCCTTGCAGTTAGTTGTACTATTCTGTCTAATGCTGTCATCCATGCTCACCACAGGGCAACAGGATGCACTCTGGTTGTGTTATGATTACTTAGTGCGGAGAGCAAAGGGAGGGCAAACTCAGAGTGACAAAAACAAAAGTGAAACTTATAAAACATTTGTTATTACATTGTTTTCGGTGAATATAGCATTTTCTAAACAATAAAAGGTAAAAGGTGACATGGTAATTCATTAAATATACCTTCTCTTAAAAAACACACACACCAAGAAAAACATCATGGACAAGTTTTGAATAAATAATATCTCTAAACATTAGGTAATAGTCAGTGAATGTTTTATATATAATCTTCTATGTCTTCTTCAGAACATGGCAATTTCTTGGCTTTGGATCTTGGTGGCTCCAGTTTTCGAGTATTGTTGGTCCGAGTAAGAGCGGGTACAAAGCATAATGTTGAAATGAACCAAAAAATATATAGCATACCACAGGAGATCATGCAAGGCACAGGAGAAGAGGTAACATTTTCACATTACATAGTATTGTAAATGAGAAAATCTTACAGGTTTGGTAAATGTTTTTCATTTTTAATGTTTTTTATTTTTGTTTTTAGCTTTTCAACCACATTGTGTCTTGCATGACTGACTTCCTAGAGTACAAGGGGATGAAGGGTGTTTCTTTGCCACTTGGATTTACCTTCTCCTTCCCTTGTTATCAAAGCAGATTGGATGAGGTAATTCATATTGACATTTGTCACACTTTTCTGAGAATATTTCATGTAAAGAGCATACATTCAAACAACAAAGATGTAAACGACTAATTATCTGAAACGGCCTCAAATGTTTTATTCCATAAGGCACTTTTAGCAACACTACTATATTATTTTGGCATGCAGCTCTATTTTATGTTGATCAATACTAAACCCGTGTTGAACCTAAAAAAACCCCACACACACACAATTGGAAATGACAAAAAAAGCTTGTGGTCCCATGTAATGCTAATCAGTATTCACCGTTGTGATGAAGAGACACATATGGTCATGAGCTCCTGAAGTCCTGTTTTTATCAAATGCTGTTTTATGAAAATGGGGGCAATTACTTTTTCACACAGGATCATGTAGGTTTGGATAGCATTTTTCTCTTAACAAATAAAATCATAACAGATAAACTGCATTTTATGTTTACATGGGTTATCTTTGTTTAATATTTACATTTTTTGATCATCTGAAACAGTAAGTGTGACACGCATGCAAAAAGGCAAGAAATCAGGAAGGGGGCAAATGCATATACTGTATATACAGCACTATAGATGAAATAAAATGTACTGTGTCCATTAATAGCATAGCCCTATGCATTAGCCCCCATTGTGCTCTGCTTTTAAAAGTAGTAATTATATTGGACTTTGAACTCTTCAGGGTTAATTTTAGTTTACATTTTATTTCATCTATTTATTTGTCGCCACAGAGCAATGGTAGTACAGCAATATGGTGTGAATTGTTAATTATTATCTTGGCGTGCAGTTATACTTAAGCACTTATATATTTAGACAAGGCACTTAACCCAGTCAAGTCACACAGTAGTAATTCTCCAAGGTTTTTCTTCTGCTTCTGCTTACTGTCCTTTTGCCTATGCAGGGTATTCTTCTGAAATGGACCAAAGGGTTTAAAGCCAGTGGATGTGAGGGTCGAGACGTGGTGACATTACTGAAAGAAGCAGTTCGTCGGAGAGGAGTATGTCAAACACTTTCTATCTATTGGTGGTGTTCAGATTCTACAATGTGGTGATGTCATACTCCCAGATGGGTGACAAAACACAGATTTCACTATTGATTACATTGTACTTTGCCATGAAATATTTAAAAAGTAAATTCACAAATGATGAATCATAATTTTCAGTTATCAACTAAACCCAAGAACTCATTGTTGTGCAACATAATTTTGCATTTTAACAATATAAATTTTAGATGCCCCCCATCTGTATTAATGAATATTTGCCTATAGAAAGCTGTGATCATCTGAAACCCAGCCTATACTCTCACTAGTCTAACATATCAATAAATACATGCAATTCAAGTCGGTCACACAGACATGATTACAGATTGTATAATTAATAAGGTGTATAAGGCTAGTATTTTTCTCCTTCTAATTATTCTAAATCTGTATAATTGAAAACCTAGGATATCTGGCACTAATTGTATGCCAAGTAAATCAGTTAAGACCCCAAATTACATTTAGGTAATTTCTTTGATGACTTGACTAAATTTACTCTGGTAAATGCTACAACTTGCAATTATACCAGAGCATGCTGTTGAGAGAATGAAAGGGGTCACCAATGAATAATTATTAGCTCTTATACTTATAACTTTGTGAGACAGTGCTCATCCTAAACTGTTAACATCACATGCTTGAGCTTTGTTCCAGACACTGAATTAAACATGAGTAATTGCTTGCTCTTGTTGCTGTTTTTAGGAATTTGATTTGAGTTTTGTAGCGGTGGTGAATGACACAGTTGGGACAATGATGACCTGTGGATATGAGGACCCCCAATGTGAAGTGGGACTTATCGTGGGTAAGTTTGTCCTAAAGCCATCCTTATACAGCCATTGCGCGAGGCTAATATGGAGGACTGTGCTGTTCGACTAGCAAATTACTTTGTGAACATAGTACATAGATGAACTGAGCCAGCTAGGTAGTGTGATCGCTCAAGCAGTATAAAACAGCTATCAACTGTGTTGTTAAACTAATGTTAAATGAATCACAAAGCCACAGCCTGTTATAATAATTTGCCGAATTGGCTAAATATAAAGACATGGATTAAGTAAGTGTGACGTCACCCATAGCGTTCAGCGCCACTCAAATGAAGCTTTTGATGCTAATGGTTACAGGGGTGGATTTGGAGCAGATCTCCATATTAGGAATAGAAATTTTTTAATGGACACAATAGTGAAGTAAAAATCCCAGGATCACATAGAGCGGGTTATTATGAAGATTTTAAGACCAAAAAATTATGAGGCTCACAGCAGCAGTTATAGAGAGAGGCGACAATATTCCAGTGCAAGTCAAGTGTGGAGCAAACACTTGTTGAAAGTGCAGATCAGAACATTTTAGAGAATTGGGCCCACTAAAGCTCCTTGTCCTGAATCCACATTTAATGTACACAAGCACGCAAATGCGACTGTTACTACAGGCCCTTAGTATGGACTTTTTTTTTACCTTTTTAAATGACCAGTAATGTACAAAACGATATATGAGTTACATGATATAAAAACAAACAAACCAAAACAGTCTCTCTTAGTCTCATATTTGCCACACTGGTCTGCAGGAGGGTAAATATTATAAAATAATATATTTAATCAATTGAACTATCTCTTATACAGGTACAGGAACAAATGTCTGTTACATGGAGGAGATGAGAAACATTGAACGCATTGAGGGGGATGAGGGCCTTATGTGTGTGAACATGGAGTGGGGCGCCTTTGGGGAAAATGGAGAGCTGGACGATTTTTGCACTGACTTTGATCGAATTGTGGATGAAACCTCAACCACACCAGGAAAACAAAGGTAAGCCCCTACTCAAATTTACAGGTAGGGCTGTGCCAAAAATTGCAATTTCTACTTTGGTCAATCTCGATGATGAGGCAAGTGCATTTTAATCAACAATTCTACAACCATCAATGTACACGTGTTTAATATATTGTACGAACTCATTCCAAACTTAACATTTGAGTCTCTTTTATTATTGATCCTGTTAACACAAAATAAAAACTGTAGTGACCTTGACACCCTTTTCATTATGCCTGGAGTCCTCCTGTGTTTGTTTTATTAAGATGGAAGAAGATAAAATATTGATCAATACGTGTATACGGGGAATAGCCTACAGTGGGCTTGCAAGAATTCTATACAGCCCTGGCAGCTCGAATCTGTCACTATAAGAGCCAGTTACACATGCATGTAACAGTAATCTGCAGCACAGCAGTTGAAACAGCATGGGTTACCCTATGTGCATTTGATTAGCTTGTGTTAAATCTGTTTTCTGTAGTTAAAATGAAAGGAGCCTACCCAAAGTGACAGATGGTCTTTGATTTTTATTTTTATGTGTACATTTGTAGCTGTTCAAATATTACCTGTAAAACTGCCATAAAATCAATAAAACCAGATACACTGACATCTGGGAAACTCAGCAATGAACAGTTTATTTGAAGGAAAGAAGTCTGACAGATTGACATATAGTGAGCAATTTGATACAAGAATCATACAGTAAAGGATTCGGAGTTTTAGAATGTAAGAGTCTTTTAACTAAGATCAGCTATTTAAGGGTGTGTTAAAATGCACTTCTGTACAAATTTAGAAGAGGATGTTGTGTGTCAGGATCAATTATTTTATGCTCCATCAGCAGGCAAGTGCACCATGGGCCTATATTTTGCAAAATTGACTGAGCTTTTAACCTGTTCTATACACCTCAGAAATCTACTTGTAGTTCAGTTTTGCTTTATTCCTCATGTTGCAGCAATCATGCTTGTTTACTCTGTGTTCCTCTCCAGAACTTCTGGTCTCTGCTTAACGTGATGTGAGTCATTCTCCATGAAGTTACTTGTCTTTTTTAAGTCCACAGATTTTTACCAGATCTTTTCAGTGCTTCTGTGAAGCCAGTGTAGGAAGTGTAGCATTAGCAGGCTTTGCTTTTAGCTCGCACTTTGGCTTTGGCCACACAGAGACAAAATGGTTATTGTTTCCAAAACAAATGGTGTAGGATGGCGCTGGTTCAGTCAATGTTTGCAGTGACACAGATCACTCACAATGCCTGAAACCACTGTCAAACTTCTACTAGAGTACAGTGCTGTGACATCACCACAGAAGGCGGCCAAAATGGAGGAAAAGATGACATCGGCTCTATAATGCGAGCAATTGTCATTTGTCCGTGTCATTCCACAATTTGAGTCATTAGCTGAATTTGCTTCAATCACCCTAGTCGCCTTGATTTTATTTTCATTATTTGTCATTCATTTGAGTTAAACAGAGTTTGCAACAAGAATTTCATAAGGCTTTTTTTTTTTTTTTTTTTTTTTTTTTTTTTTTAATGATTTGAGATACTTTTTGCTTCAAAAATTCTCACACATATTATTTTGCAGTTTTCACTATTATTTTGTAACTTGTATAGTTACGATCATAAAACTAATTAATCTTGACTTGCTTCCTACTGTTGCTTTACAGTTAAACACAGAAATTATACATCAAGATAAGATTTAAAGTTTAAAATGTCTATCCGGCTGTGCAAAAGAATGTTTTATTTTGTTGATATATTGAAATGATTTTGTCCTTTTTTGGCTTCAGTGACATGCCCATTTGCAGCCAGACTCATCCTAAAGCTCCAGTATTAGAATATCTATGTTTGCACATTGGGACGGCTTTGCTTATGTCAACCCAGTGTTAATTCTTTTGTTAATATCAAGTTCACTGGTGTACAGCTAACAGTGGTCTTTTGAGTTGACGTTTTTTCTATTGTTGCAAAACTTGTATATTGGTATTCTTAGTAATAAAAACATAGTGTAATAAATTATTCTAATAAAACAAATTTGAAATGATGCAGACAGTTTAATAATTGGAATTTTATGATTGATTGAAGGCTCTTCCCTTTTTCTCTCACTCTGTCCCTTCTTCCTCTCTCACTCAGAGCAGCAATAGTACACTGTAGCATTTTAAACATGATGTGAGCAGTTCTGAGCAACTTCAGTCACAGTTTCAGAGTCTTGTTGAACATGTTTGTCAGTCTGTAATTTTAGATCAAAAGAGAGTTCCACAGCCTAAACCTCTTAGCAGAGAAACTAGCCTGTTCAAATGATGTTTTACTACACAGTGAGTCCCCTGTGACAGAGGCGCTGGGGTTTGGTCTGAGAATGCCTGACTCCTGACAGCCAGACCACAGAGCCGTGACATACAATTATATGGACATTTAAAAAACAGTTTCAGAATTATTAGATTTAATAGTGAAAAGCTTGCATTTCTCAATGATTTTACAATAATGCCATCTCTTAGGATTCTTAAATAGGATCTTAATTCACTATTTATACAGAGAAATGCCAGATTCAATGTGGAAACTGATGTTTGTGATTGTGGTATGATGCAATTTGAGAGATGTAAGCATGTGATGCATGTACACAACATAGCAGTGTGGTGTGGTAATTTCCTCCTAATAAAATGGAAACAGTTTAGATTACATTTGACCTTTCTACTTTCTTTCTATTATCTAATGAAATCATGAGACAGCCATCGATTCATGAGACAGCCATAGATTCACATCCCTAATTTCTATTGCTGTTTGTTTGTATGTTTTTTTCATTCATATATAATTATCTAGGAATTATCCTCAAAACTGAGACGTCTACTCTACTGAAACATAGAACTCTCCAATTTCCAGTAAAAACCTCTATGACCTAAAAACATAATGCTGTGACTGGTTTTCCTGCTCTGACAAATGATAACATGCATCTGATGTATTCATAATGATACCTGTATTTATTATTACCAGTGGTGATAAGTGGTAATGGTAAGGTAATGAAGTACAAAATGGTAAAGTAAAGAAGTACAAAAATAAAAGTATACTTTAGTACATTTTTACGGTATCAATCCTTTACTTAAGCACATTTTCCAGTGGATACTTTTTACTTTTACTTCACTACATTTGAGAGCATATATCTGTACTTTCTACACCACTACATTTTAGATCTGGACTGAAAAATGAAAGGTACTTTACTTTAAGGTTTGAGACCTGCTGAAATTGATTGAGATTTATTTTTAAAACATTTTGAATTAACGTCCAACTTTGAGCAAACCAAATACACAAAAACAGCTAAATTCTAGATCAGATTAATTTGATGCTTTAATTGTTCAAGAAGTCTCTTTTTACTCTTAAAGTAAAGTAATAAAGACTTAATAATGGGCATCAAATTAACATTTTGTTCTTTTTGGATGTTGTTCATGACATATTTTTACAAACAAGGCAGTACTTAAAGTCTTCTGACAAACATTCTCAAAATTACGGTAGTGTTATATCATTTGTAGAGATGCACCCATCTGATACTGGTATTGGATATCAGTGCCTATACTGAAAAATTTTCTGGAATGAGTATTGGCTTCCAAATACTGGTTCAGCTAATATCCTCTTTGGACATGTAAATCGATGTAATAAGACTATTCAGTATTCACTGGTCGTAGTCAGTCCAGAACGTTTCATACTGTTTGATCTTTTGTTTACACAAAGGTGTTCTGTAGTGAGGGATAAATAGTGGCTTTGTACTGGTATCTGTTGATATTGGGTATCAACATATACTTAAAGGCAAGGCAAGGCAAGGCAAGTTTATTTGTATAGCACAATTCGTACACAAAATAATTCAAAGTGCTTTACAGAATAAGAAATACATTAAAATCATAATAAAAACAAATCAAAACATAAATAATCATGAAGATTAAAATTAAAAAAGAGAGACATAAATTGGAGAGAAGAGTGCGGAATGAAAACCTTTCAGTTATATGCACAGTTAAACAGAAATGTTTTGAGCCTGGATTTAAACAGCGTCACAGAAGAGTCTGTCTCACATGTTCAGGAAGACTGTTCCAGGTTTTAGCTGCATGAACCTGAAACGCTGACTCCCCTTGTTTAGTCCTGACAGGAGGCCGGTCCTTGAGGTCCTCAGAGTGCGAGCTGTAGTAAAGCTGTAGTATTGGACATGGTATCTGCACTGAAAAGACTAGATTGGTGCATTCTTAATAATTTATAGAAATAATTTCATATAAATAATATTTGCTACACAAAGTCTGTTCATGGTTGATATAGAGCATGCAGAGGTAGTCTAATAAGCTGTTTAGCAGTCACGACCTGTCTGTACCAGCCTCTGTATGAGCCACTATTATAACCCCCCACAGGACTCAACACAACCCTGTCAATGACCTATGACCAGAGCACACTGGTCTCTATGCGCTTTCTCCCACGTTATTTACTGCCACTTGCTCAAAATGTCCTTGCTCATATCAACATATTTGTGAATTAAATATGCTTCCCCTGAGTGTTTATGACATTTTAGTTGCTGCTGACGCTGAAAGCAGCTGAAGAAGCATGCCACCTGACTTTATCTCTCACCCTCTTTGTAGTACTCTCATTTATGTATCAATATAGAGCATTAAGCCTTGGGGTTATAGAATGTTGAAGTCTTTGTGGGTTGGAACATCTTCACTTCAAATATATGTGAGGACACACTAATTTACAGATTGGGGTTCTGTGCACAGTTACATATACTTGGCGCTGTGCATAGGGTTTTTCAGACAGGCCTCCACTGTGTGGAAAGGTAATCCTGCTCTACAGGGGATGAATTACTGTGGAAAGATTTTGAGAGAGGAGAAAATGGCCTTCAAAGCACAAATAGATTAAGAAAGCTTTAGGCTCAATGCGAATGATAAGTTATACAACATATGTTTTGTATCAAATAATTACATATTCTTCCTGCAATATGGCATCCATGCAGTAACCAAGGCATTGGTATTTAATTAATTACGTGGTGAACACATACTGTCAACTAACAAGGTGCTCTCTTCTCCCTATGTGAGTGTGTGTGGGTGTGTGTATGTGTGTGTGTCTTGAGCTCTGAAGGAAAAGTTTGACTGTCCTCTATTTCCACTGTGCTATGTCTAAATGGACAATTTGGTACATTATAATTAAGCAAAAAATTAGATTAAAATGTGAGTCTATTTTAGTCAGAATTAATTTGGTCAGATTTGCGATTGATTGGTTGGTTATTATTTAAAATTGATTCTCAGCCTTACAAAATGTTTTGAAAGCCCTATTTGACCAGAATATTACTACAGACAACATAATGTATCCCTACACTCTTTTATAGACAAGCAAACTCAACATTTCAGTCCAAAAGGAGACTTCCCAGGATGAGCAATCTAAGAGCGAAGGACCCACAGAGAGAAAATGAGAATTAAGAAATAAGAACATTTTATTTCATTTTAAACCAGTATTAGACCTAAGCTCTGAGACAAATCGCACATTCATAAGTACAAGTGTTTATGGTAACTCAAAACACTGAGCCTCACTTATGATTTTTTCATTGGCACTTATCTGATTTGGCACAGAAAGTGTTCTATTATTCTGTATTATCTATCACTCAAGTAACTTTATGCCCCTGTTGGCCACTGAAGCATATGGAACAATCTTTGTGCAGCTGCCACAGGTTCTAGGTGGGGCAGTATTTGTAAATATGCAATGTTGATACTGTTGCAATATTTTAGCATACTTACTCACACAATAATTCTTGTTATCGAGTGTGCTCTTTCCATCATCTCATTTTGTTGTGTAGCCGTGCCTTTGCTAAACTGATCCAGTAGCTGTTCTGGAACAGACCTCACTTGAAGATAGTACCCCCCAGCGTCTGCTTCAGTCCCCTCAAATGGCTTGAGACACTTCACTTTAGATAGTGCAGACTTTCAGCCGCTACCAAACCGGGTCAAAGGGTCATGAGAACATTGCTGACGTTAAAAGTACTGTATTTATTTTCCCTAAAAAGAACAGTCTTTGCTGCACTTTCTTCTTTAATGGGAAGAATGAATGCTCTTATATTGGAAACTATCTTTTATAACAGCATATTTCAAATAGTTAAGTATTACCCTTTGTTTAATGCATTTATGAAGCACATAAGTGCTATATACTGTGCACTTACGAGATATAACATGATCACCTCTTGCCTGTACTATTTCACTCCCACCACAGATGGCTTTCTATCAAAACCATCATTGAATGTTTTGTCCAATCCACTTTATTGGTTGACACAGCGGAAAGATATTGACCACTATATGCAGATAGAACTCCACACACAAGCTGCACTTTTGGGAATGCTCTCACAAATTAGCCTCCCGATAGACACTGTGATACCACAAACATAATTTACATATGCAATACTGTATTGTGCAAAATTATCTTTTTTGACCTATTAGCCATTTTATAATGTTGTCTTAAAACTAAAATTGCAATTTGAGTTGCATCGTACAGGATGCAGTTTTTACATAATAGAATATCTTTTGTATTGAAAAATCATCCTCCAGGCTTTTCTGAACTGTTACTTTTTAAAGTGCAAGTCTAATCACAATACTTTGCAATACTAATGACCATGCACCATTGTAATGTTTAAATATCCATATGTACATATTCATACTTTTGTAGCAATTGCTTGCACTATAATTCATCTAAACTGCATAGCTATAAACTATGAAAAATGTGAAATACCAATGAGTATTTAAAAAAAAAAAAAATTCAACAGTCTAGGATCTTTAAGAATAAAACCTGTCTTGGACTTAGACAAACTTTATTGATCTACAAGAGAAATGACTTGGACACAGTAGCTCACACATCACAATATATAATAATATAATAAAAAGAAAAAAAATAAAAGAGAAAAAATATAAATGGTAATAATAAATTCTAAATAAGTAGCAAAAATAGCAAGAGACTGTTGTCAAATAAGGCAAAATTATATAAATGTGTACAAGTAAAAATAAAATTAAATAGAAATAAGTAATACAAATAAAAATATCTCTGCAATATACAGGGCGTCGTAAGGAAAACACAAAGATGCAAAGATGATATCTGTTACATAAGGGTGAGTTGTTGTACAGTTGTATGGACCATAGACTGTATATATAAATGGACATAGCTAACGCTCTAGCCGTCATAGATAGTCTGGTGCAGTGGGGGAGCAGGAGTATCCATGATGGAGTGAAGTCTGTCCAGTGTCCACCTGTACCTCACTGTGACAAATGATCAGGTGGAACATAAATCATGTTTGTTTGTTCTTGCCCTTTCACGCAGGTATGAGAAGATGATTAGCGGCATGTACCTTGGAGAGATTGTGAGGAATGTATTGATAGAGTTTACAAACAAAGGCCTACTGTACCATGGAAAGGTCTCAGAGCGACTCAAGACACGCGGCATCTTCGAGACCAAGTTTCTGTCTCAGATCGAAAGGTACATAATGGTTTACACTAGCATGTCTCTGCAATGTCCACTGATCATTGTTACATCATGTTATATTTTAAACACACACACACACTATTCTTCAGATGTATTTACAGGCCAAGATAAAACTGTCTGTCTCATAGATTTTAATACATAGTGGCTGTAGTTGTTCAATCATAATCATCATCATTAATCCAAAGTCCAAAGCACTGCTCAGATTGATTTAAACAAGTTGGGGTATTTAGGTTGCTCTATTTGCTTGGAACTGTGTCAGCCTCAGACTTATGAAATCAATTCCTGGCTCTGAGAATTTACAGAATGTCTCACTGTTCTCCTTTTCAACTGTACACATCCTGTGTCCCTTTTAGTATTGGAACAAAATATGATTTTTACCAGAATAAAATTAAGTTTTATTTAGACTAAGAACCATCAGAAGAATGTACTTTTATCATGCTTTCAGAAACATTGCCCCCTCTCTTCAGTTTATTTTCTATTTATTCTCATTTTATTAAAGTGTCACACTCACACACAATTATTTTAGTAGCCGACTAGTCAGCAATCTTTGTCAAAGGAAATTCTATTCTTTCTATTATAATCAATTATTTTATACATCAACCAAGTTAGGGTTGAAATATGTTCACTTAGGGCTAGTGTACTATTAATTAAAATTATTGATTCTTTTTTGACATTTTGATTTTATAATACCACTATTCTTTGTCATAAAAAGGTTGACTAGACTAGTGTACTATAATCTGGTATATTTACACTGTAATTACAGATGTACATGAATATGCGCTCCCCCCATTAAATAAATACATAATTAGCCTGCCTTTGTTGATCATTATTCCAGCGACCGCTTGGCCATGAGGCAGGTGCGCTCCATCCTTCAGCGGCTGGGTCTGACCGGCTCTACCTGCGATGACAGCGTTCTGGTGAAGGAGGTGTGTACGGTGGTGGCTCGAAGAGCAGCACAGCTCTGTGGTGCTGGACTTGCTGCCGTCGTGGACAAAATACGAGAGAATCGCAATTTAAACCAGCTCTCCATCAGCGTTGGAGTGGATGGCACACTGTATAAGACACATCCACAGTAAGTGGAAGAGCATGGGTCTAAACAAATCAATATGCTTTTTTTAACCATAGTTGTGTGATGCACTTTGATTCTCAGACATAGTTAGGCTTAATACTGGATTGAAGTGGCTTAATATTCAGTCCGGCATTGAATATTAAGCAATCCAGCAATATTTTTTGCTGAAAAATGCCTTATGTAAGTAAAGACATATAAATAAAAATATACTGATCTACATTTATGATTTGAATCTAAAGATCAGAATCAGAATTGATTGTCTGAGAGGGATCAATAAAGTCTAATAAATAAATAATAAATAAATAAACGGGGGCATACACACGGTAGTGACACACCACAGTGGCAGACTCACTCTGTACAATACTACTGCTACTTGAGTTTGTTCACCTGCGTTGTACGTGACAGAACAAATTGATTGGTTTCATATTGGCTGCTGCATAACACTCTCCTGAGGGTTAAGACTCAAACAGTAAGAACAGAATGTGTGATGGGTCAGTAATAATCCTCTTTTAACTGTTAACTGCCTATGACCTTGTTGCTTTCACCATATTCCCTGACTTTTAAAAAAATTGTTTTTGAACAGTCAGTCTTCCATTTCGTCTATGTACATCATACTATGGAAATGTAGTACATCCAACCCATCCATTTTGCATAAAGCCCCAGTTTAAACTTGTGTGTTTATGTAAATTGCTAAGACCATATTATTAAGCCTGGTACTGCATAATCATTTAAACTTTTCTGTGCTTTTCTTGTCATCTCTCTCCAGTTTTTCGAGCATTATGCAGGAGACACTGCAGGATTTGGCCCCTCAATGTAAAGTCTCGTTCCATAAATCTGAGGATGGCAGTGGGAAGGGAGCGGCACTGATCACAGCTGTGGCCTGTAGAGTTCGACAAGAGCAGCCCCACAACTGACACCAAAGCAGATGTGTTTCGGTGGGAAGTGGGGCTAATTAATCTTACTCTTCATATGTGAGCTGTATGGAAACTGATAGCAAAAAAGAGTGGCCTTAAATAGAGCAGTGACCAGCAGAACCAGTTAGAATTAGCCACTGGTTATAGTGTTTTTAATATACTCCAACCAGAAATAGTCTTTTTTTAATTTGGTTTTAGACATGGATAAACTTTATTGATCTACAAATCATTTTATTTTGACACAATAGCACAGTATAAACACAGGTAAATGTTATGTTTACAGTAGTTTAAGGTTGAATTAATATATGTTGGAAGGTTTTAACTAATTTACCAATGGCTGAAGTTACCATATTTGGAGTAAGGTCAAAATCTGGGTTTTAAGTATTTGCCGTAGCTCCATTAAATCCGTACAGTCCCTGACAAAAGTCTTGTCGCTTATCCATTTTGTAGAAACAAAAGCTTATAAACTGACTTTAAATTAATCGATTGGTTTTAGAAATGTCTCATACGAAAGCTAAAACCCTCCCAAATTATGCTCAATATACTAAAAATTTGCTTCACTGAAGAAAGATTGATCATTTGACGAACACAGAAAGGTCAGATTTTGGCAAGACAAAAGTCTTTTCGCCTTGTCATATGATGCACCCAATCCTAGATTACAGCCTCACCTGTGATCAGTTACTGATCAATCAGTTGGTGGGTGTGTATAAAAAGAACCCCAGCACACCAGACCTTCACATCAACTGCAACTTGACCTCTGACAACATGCCTAAGATCCACCCTGACACCAAAGCGTTAATTATCAAGAGACTGAAGACCAGATCCACTGCTGAGGTGGTGACACCTTCAATGTTTCTCAGCGTCAAGTACAAAGAATAAGAAAAAGATCTGAAATGACTGGAGATGTTTTTGACAAGCCCAGGTCCGGCAGACCCCACAAGACAACTGCTCGGGAGGACCGTTTGTTGATTCAAAAATCCAAGCCCAGCCCCTTTTCCACTGCAGCAGACTCCACCAGGCCTGGTCACCTCAAGCCCCTGTGTCAACCACAACAGTTTGCAGAATTCTGTCTCGAAATGGCCTCCATGGTCGAATCAGTGCACAGAAACCAGCACTAAACAAAAGACAATTAAAAAAACGTGTGGCATTTGCCAAGGCCCACAGCCTGCTAAAAGGATGGACACTGGAAAAGTGGCAGAAGGTGGATTTCTCAGATGAATCCTCGGTTGAATTACATCACAGCCGCCACAAATATTGCAGGAGACCTACTGGAGCCCACATGGATCCAAGATTCACCCAGAAAACAGTTAAGTTTGGTGGCGGAAAAATGGTCTGGGGTTCCATCCAGTATGGGGGTGTGCGAGACATTTGCAGGGTGGAAGGCAATATCAATAGCCTAAAATATCAAGAAGTATTAGCTCCTCTTACATTCCCAACCATAAAAGGGGTCAAATTTTGCAGCAGGATGGTGCTCCATCGCATACTTCTATCTCTACATCAAAGTTTCTCAAGGCGAAGAAGATCAAGGTGCTCCAGGACTGGCCAGCCCAGTCACCAGACATGAACATCATTGAGCATGTCTGGGGTAGAATGAAAGAGGAAGCATGGAAGGCAAAACCAAAGAATCTTGATGAACTCTGGGAGGCATGTAAGACGCTTTCTTTGCTATTCCTGATGACTTCATCAACAAATTGTATGAATCATTGTTGAACCGCATGGATGCAGTCCTTCAAGCTCATGGAAGTCATACAAGATATTAAATATGGATCTCACAGCACCACTACTTCATTCACTGACGTTATGCAACATATTTTTGTATTTGAAGTAAATTATTTGTTCAATTTTCTGTGGGCGACAAGACTTTTGTCTTGCCAAAATCTGACCTTTCTGTGTTCGTCAAATGATCAATCTTTCTTCAGTGAAGCACATTTTTTTTAGTATATTGAGCATAATTTGGGAGGGTTTTAGCTTTTATATGAGACATTTCTAAAACCAATCGATTAATTTAAAGTCAGGTTATAAGCTTTTGTTTCTACAAAATGGATAAGCGACAAGACTTTTGTCAGGGACTGTATAATAATTACAAGAACCAAAGATGGGAGCGATTGAGTTGTATTTATTAAACTAAGGAATACATATTTGCAGTGAGCATGGTCAGATCAATTTGGTTCACATTTGTTCATCATAAGTCAACAAGCTCTTTGCAACAATTGAAATGAACTGTTTAAATGGTTATTAGCAGTTTGGCACAACCATCCAGTGATTCAAAGGACACTTTGTTACAGGAACACAATGGAGCAGTTAAAAGGCTAAACTGCTGCAGAATCTTGTAAGAATATTGGAGGTTTTTGTTTGTAATTTATTTTAAAAGATATTTGATCTAAACAGGAAAATAAAGTTACACAGAAAAGAGACAGTGGTTAAAGTGGCTGAATCCCAAGATTGTTTATGTAATAAAGTTTAAAATATAGTACAGATATATTGTAAAAGCAGCTCTTAGGATCAAAATGAGAAGACTGTGTCATCATCATCATCATCGCATCACAAAGCATTTTTATTGTTCATGAACCAGAAGCTAGTGCACTGTTACCATGCAGGCTACTGTCAGCATTACCACGACAGCAAAACTCCACTGCGACATCTAAAAGTTGTGAAACGCGCTTATTAACTTATTCCGATTTGCTAGAATCTGTTAAGGTGGAGAATAACTGAGCCGCTGCAAACTGTAAATGAAATGACTTGCTTTTTTTAGGTTTTAAATCAGGTACTGTTCATTTTGTACTAGCCTTCACTCTGACTGAGGTCAGTGACTTTTGAAAATTCAAGGCATGTTCATGATGTTTCTTTTATTCTCAGTTAATTTATTATAAACCTCTACAAAGGCTATTCAGTATCCGAAACTTGCTTTATGCCCAAAAGTTATGATGTGCTGCATAAACTAAACACAATTATTTGACTATTTTTGATGCAGTTCATTAAAGTTCTCATCATTTTTTCTGTGAGGAAGCAATTACTGTCGTTGAAGCTGAGCCTAAAGGGAAGACTTTAGACTAATTAGTGCATGATGCAGACAATGACACATCTCTGATTTGAACTTAAGCTGTTTTCAAGGCACGCTCCACACTTGTCCAGGTTTGGTCTTGGTTTGAGTCCAGTTTAGTTCTGATGTAGGCTTGCTTTGGTTCTGTTCTAGTCCTGGTATAGTCTTCATCTAGTCAAGGTTCAGTTCTGGGTTTAGTCCCAATTTTGAAAAAAAGATGGCTGTCTGTTGTACTGCGTTTGAGGAGTGACAGAGGTGGCCTTGGGTATGACAAGTGAATAGGTTTATTAGATTAGTTATTTCAAGTGTGTTTGTAAATGACAATTGGCTCTTAAACATTTAATCTAGTTAAAGGTCTGTACCTGATTTATACTGTCTAGTTCATTTTAAGTAGTTTGCTGTGATCCAGACATATTCCTCATTTACCTAATGCAGTCCGAGGACGCCACTGAGTCACCGCAATGAGTTTATAAATGCGTTTCACAATTCTCAGAGAAAAGGGTGAGTGTTATGTGAGCATGGTATGGTAAAGCAATAACATATATATACAAACCATGCACTTTTGATAGATGGACAGTAAAACACTTTATCATGAAATGCACGCTCCACAATCAAAGCAGACCTGTTATGCAAAATTGACTTTTCTGTCCTTTTAACCTTGTTACAGTTGTTTTGCCTCATCATTTGTGATTTGTGCGTGTTTGAGTAATCTTTATTAAGTTATTTTCACTGTTCCTGGTATACGCCTACTTACTGAAGTACTTACTTCATTCTCCAGTTTTATTTTCTTGATCACTGATACATGTGGGATTTGGCAGAGTGGTATAGTAATTTTGGTACAAAGGGAAAAAATCTGTGGCTTGCTAGTCTGAGGTGCAGCTATCTATGGGAGGTGCTGACTCTTTGTTGTGATGATGATTTACAGTGATATCAGGTCATTTTAGATGAATATTGCGGTTTAAAATCTCCAAATGATAACATAATGATCCATGGGTGTTATAGATTATAACAGACATGTCAAATTCAGGCACTGGGGCCACAATTTGCTTGTGATATAATTATATTTGGCCCACAAGATCATATCAAATATGTATTAGAGCTGGCCCACTGGCTACAGATAGAGGCTATAGAGACATTATTTCTTTAAATTTTTGTTACTCTTTTATATTATGCTTGTTCTGGATTCAGTGTTTAAGCAAAACTATTATTAAATATTTATTTTAATAAGAAAAGGTTTAACATTACAGAAGAGAAAACATGCAGATGCTGTTGAAGTTTTCCATTAAATATTTAGTTTGGTCTACAACTTAGTCCCAGTTTTTAATTTTGGCCCTGTGTGAATTTGAGTTTGACCCCTCTGGATTATAAATAACTATATAGTAGACACAAATACAATATTCTTTAAATGTACATTGTATAACTTTTCTGGTGGAGGGTCAATCAAATGCTTTTCTCCATGGAGATGTTATTACTTTGTCTTAAATGTTTCACAATATGGCTTCAAACCTTTCTATCTTCTATCTTCATGGAGACCAAACCAGACCAAGTTACAGGCCAGATCTGTGGAGAGGCGACCCCGCTCAATGTCAGAAAGGCTGATTTTCTAGGTATTTTTGAGTTATAAAACCACCAAAGTAAGATCTGTTTAATGTCATGTTGAGGAACATTTCAAGCAGAAACAATAAGTTGACAGTCCCCTATCCAAAAAGTTACATAACATTAAGTTACTTACTTACTTGCCTCAGTTACCATATAACATGCCAACACTACTGCTGTGTTGGCATTAGTCATACAGTTCAAAGTAGTCAAACCAAGATTAATATTCTGGATACAAGTGCTATTCGTTTTGCAGTGAAACAAGCCCTCTCAAAGAATCTGATTGTAACCAATCACACTGCTTTTTTACTCTATTTTAGAAGCTTTTGTAACTGATGAATGGTACTGGATTTTTCTTGACTCTGCTCTCTTAACCGCTCCTTTTTACTGACAGTGATATTTGAAGTTATTGAAGCAGCATATAATTTAAGTGGAAAGTATTAAAGGTGCACTATTCAGTTGGGGGTTCATTACCTGCTTGTTTCTATGGAGAAGATGTCACTGCCCGGCCTGGAATGTTCCACAGTATGACATTTAAACAGCTCTACCTTACATTTATTCAATTACGGGTGGTTTTATAACTCAAAAATACCTAGAAAAACAGGAATTCTGACTGTGAGTGGGGTCGTCTCTCCACAGATCTGACCTGTAACTTGGTCTGGTTTAGTTTCTGTGATGATAGAAAGGTGTAATACCATACTGTGAAACATTGAAGACACAGCAAAGCAGAAAAGCGTTTGACGGATCCTCCACCAGTTACACAGTGCACCTTTAACTTCTATTTTAAACTTTTTAATTAAGACAATTGCACTCCCAACATCACAGAATCAGGC